AATTGAAAATTTTTTTGAAATTGTTTTGAACATTACTACTTCAATTCTTGTGAAAATAAGTAACTAGAAAACATTTTTTTAAAGTAGCTCGACTAGTATACACTATTAGGGATTTTTAACAATTTATAGATAGATGTGCTAAACGGTTTATAAAATTTTAAACAGAAATAAGAGATACCTGTAGTGTTAAAAAAACTTTAAATGGTTTAGAGCAATAGTTTTGGTTCAATTCTTCTTTTTTACAGCTTAAGAGGACACCTTTCAAAAGGTAACAACAATCACGGTAGCTAATTATGATTTCCATGTTATATACGCTAAATATTCACGCATTATACTTTCTATTCAATTAAAGTAAGCACTATAATAACTTTTTTCATCGAATTTTTGGATTTTCTTACACAATAAATTTTTGTGAAAAACTGCATGCGTTGCATTTTTTGGACAACCCTATATTTTACGTGATATTTTGTTACAGAAATATTTAAAAAAAACATAAGAAACTACTTAAATACTTGAAACATTATTTTAAGACTAAATAAATAAATAAAGCATTTACCTTAATTATTTTCGTATGTTATATTTTTTGAAGAAAAAAAAAACCCTCAATTACTTTTTCTAAAAATTATAATCTTGCTGACAAGGATACAATCAATTTTTATTTGTCAACAACTATTTATAAAAAAGTTTAAAACTATATGGAGACGCATCAATTGTTTTCACGTAGTAATATCAGCAATTTAATAAGGATAAAATTAGCTCAACTTTTCACAGGGTAATAATTTGGAAGAAAATAAAATTCATATTAAATATCTGTTAGGAACAAAACTGCATATTTCTAAAACCACATTTTAAGACATTCTTTGGGCTATTTTTGGAAATTCCAATGAAGTGGAAAATTCAATGCTAAGAGGAGCACGAATTTTCCTCGGAAATATTAAATTACTTAATTACATACTTAAAATATTTCAATTACTTAATTACATACTTAAATTTTTTAAATTACTTAATTACATACTTAAATTATTTAAATTACTTAATTTAAAGTATAGAAAAAAGAAGCAAACCAATTGCTGAACAGAAATATTAAAATGAAAACAAATTATGAGCAATGGAGAGTTTTCGAAACTTCATGGCTTATTCTCACAAGAAAAGTTTCTTTCGCGGTCCACCTAAGAGTTTTTCGGTTCAAATCACAGTTATTTTCTATACAAGCGATAGAGCCGTGGTGGGGACTGAAAGTTTGCCTTCCAATGAGGTGAACCGGGTTCGAATCCCAGCGATGACGGGTCAATTCCAATTCCGCACACGGCTCACACCGACCACATTGCTGACGTAAAATATCCTGAGTGGTAGACGAATTATGGGCTAGAGTCCCCTTACCTTCAGGCTAACCGTGCAAGGTTTTCGTGGTTTTCCTCTCCATGCAACGCAAATGCGGTTTAGTTCTATCAAAAAAGTTCTCCACGAAGTCAAATTTCTCCCAATACTGGATCCAGGAGTTCTCTTGTCTTCTGGATTGGGTTCAAGATTACAAGGCTATGGAGTTGAACATTAGTAGTTGTAAACCCTAAAATTGGGTCGGCTGTTCTACGAGGGTGCTAATATACAAACAATAAAACAGCTTGTGAATATCAGTTTCTGTGAGGATCTCGTATATAAATTTTTAAAGTTAATTATTATAATTTTTATCTTATTTAACTTATAAATGTGATAAAATACTTTTTAAAAAAAAAAATCATTGAATTGTGTTTTTACAAAAAAAATAATACATTTTTCAGTATTTTTTGCATCGTGTAGGATATTTATATAGTGATTCACGCTGTCTGAAATGAATAATTTTTCATTGAAGCCAACGAAAGTATAGTTGTTTAATTTAAGTCTTCTTTTATAAAAAACAAATATGCTACCTTTTTCTTGCATTTTAATACTTTTAAGAAGGTTCAAGTTTCTGAATCGTAAGAATAAGCATTTCAAGTTTAATTAAAAGGAACGTAAAGACTTATGGCTAACAATTAATTTATCGGGAAAAAAATTTGTGCGCGTATTTCTTTATTCAACTTTAACCGTTTTTTTTAAAAATATATATTTGAACGTTTTAAATCAATTTAAAAATATTTTTAAATGTTTTAAAGATTCTCTACATTTTAAGCGTTTTTAAAATATAAAAAAGTGAGCGACAAATCCTAGCATATTCAATACGATTTAATCATTTGAATGTGCTGAAAAACGGCAGAAGTCAAGAATTCCTTTTAACTCATTCGTAGCTCATTTCAATTTACTCTTTAATATTATAATAATATTTATATCAATTATATCATATTATTAATATATAATTATGTATCATTATAATATATTATCAATATATAACTACATAGATTACTATTACAATAATAATTATTACAATATTTATTATTTAAGCCGAATCAAAGAGCAGAAACACGCAAATTTTTTTAAACATCTAAAGAAACCAAATTAGAAAACTAGTTGTAAGAAATTTAGTTATAAGAAAACAATGCTATAAGTATAAAAGATTTATGGCGAACAATTAATTTTTAGAAGAAAAAAAAATTGTGAGCCCGTATTTTCAATTTCAACCATTTTTTTTTTTATATATTTGAACGTTTTAAATAACGCTAAAAATATTTTTAAATGTTCTAAAGATTCTTTATATCTTAACCGTTTTTAATGTGGCTTAAAAAAGTCAATGATTTGGACAAATCCTAGCATACTCAGTATTTTTTATTCATATTTATTACATTTGATTGTACTGAAAAACGGCAGAAATCAAGAATTCCTTTTAGCAGATTTCACAGCTCATTTCAATTTATTACTCAATAACATAATAATATTTATATCAATTATATTATATTATTAATATGTAATTATATATCATTAAATTATATGTCATTATATTATATTATTAATATCTAACTACATAGATTATTATTACAATAATAATTATATCCATATTTATTATCTAAGCCGATTTAAAGAGCAGAAACAGGTAAATTTTCTTAAACAGCTAAAGAAACCAAATTAGAAAACTTAGTTGTAAGAAATTTAGTTATTCGAAAACAATGCAATGAACATAAAAGATTTATGGTGAACAATTAATTTTTAGAAGAAAAAAAAATTTTGCACCCGTTTTTCTTTATTCAATTACAACCATTTCTTAATATATATTTGAACGTTTTAAATAACGCTAAAAATATTTTTAAATGTTCTAAAGATTCCTTATATTTTAACCGTTTTTAATATGGCTTAAAAAAGTCAATGATTTGGGCAAATCCTAGCATACTCAGTATTTTTTATTCATATTTATTACATTTGATTGTACTGAAAAACGGCAGAAATCAAGAATTCCTTTTAGCAGATTTCATCGCTCATTTCAATTTATTATTCAATAACATAATAATATTTATATCAATTATATTATATTATTAATATGTGCATATCATCATTACATATCATTAAATTATACGTCATTATATTATATTATTAATATATAACTACATAGATTATTATTACAATAATAATTATATCCATATTTATTATCTAAGCCGATTTAAAGAGCAGAAACAGGTAAATTTTCTTAAACATCTAAAGAAACCAAATTAGAAAACTTAGTTGTAAGAAATTTAGTTATACGAAAACAATGCAATGAACATAAAAGATTTATGGCGAACAATTAATTATTAGAAGAAAAAAAATTTTTCGCACCCGTATTTCTTTATTCAATTACAACCATTTCTGAATATATATTTGAACGTTTTAAATAACGCTAAAAATATTTTTAAATGTTCTAAAGATTCTTTATATTTTAACCGTTTTTAATATGGCTTAAAAAAGTCAATGATTTGGGCAAATCCTAGCATATTCAATATGTCTTAATCATATTTATTAGATCTGATTGTACTGAAAAACGGCAAAAGTGAAGAATTCTTTTTAGCAGATTTCATAGCTCATTTCAATTAATCATTCAATAACATAATAATATTTATACCAATTATATTTCATTATTAATATATAATTATATATCATTAAATTATTCATAATTATATTATATTATTAATATATAACTGCATACATTATTATTACAATAATAATTATATCAATATTTATTATCTAAGCCGATTCAAAGAGCAAAAACATGCAAACTTTTAAAAACATCTGAATAATCCAAATTAGAGAACTACATCAAGATTGCAAATTTGATGATAAATAACTTATTAGATAAATGACTTTTGGCGGCATGCTCAAGAAATGTAAAAACAAAAGGCAACAACAACAAAATTAGAAAAAATGCTTTTTAAACCAATTTTGGATAGTCATGATTTTATCAAATAATGTCATATAATATCAAATATATATTAGCAGAGTTATTGAATTATATCCTTGACAAATGACAGAATGTGTGAACGAAAAATCAATTGAGATCCAAAAAGTAACTATTATTTTAGCGTAAAATAGTTACTTTAATATATAGTACATATTTATCCTTCTTTAAAATAATTATTCAATTTGTTATGAAATAACCAGAATTATCCACTCTTATAGTTCTTCCATAAATTTATTGAAAATAAATCCACGATGTTAATTTTATTTAAATCATATTGCAATGCCTCTAACATAAAAACCACTTTGTTCCTGGTAATACTAAAAATAATAGAACCTTTCCTTTCTTTTTCTTCTACTAAAATTAAAATTTTATTTCCACACTGTTTGGTACATAAATTGTAAAAATTTTAAAATTAGTCAGGAAAGCAATGTTTTGCTACTTAATTTTGCATCAATTAAAGTAGCAATTTTAAAACAATTATATTCTTGTTTCCGCAATCTATCACTTTTTATAATTAATTTCTTAACTTTAAATAGGGCTAAATGTATATTATTTTAAATTATTTAAAACAGGGAAAAAAGCCTAATATGTTTGTATTTAATTCATTATTATTTTTAGTAAATAAAACTAAATTATTAGCAACTATTAAAAAGAAATTTACCTCTTAACTGTTTCCCTGCATTCACCTGAGTAATTCACAAGAAAAATAAGGAAATGTAACTTGCTCGCTTAGAACAGAGGAATCGACATAGCGAAACGAAAACTGGAATTCGCGCATGCGCCTAACTGTTCTCTTCGTGAATCAAAAGTTGTTTAAAACAAGTTGGAATCTCTCGATTTCGTTTAAATGATGTGACAAGAATAATTTTAAAATAACTGAATTAATAGAGTAGTGAAAAAAATCTTATAATAGCTGTTTAAATTATAATTGGTCAAAATATTTTGAAAAGCTACAGAACTAACGTTATTTAGTTAAATAAAAATGTTAATTAAAAATATATACAAAAGGTATTTACGGGTCATTCTCATTGAAAAGGTATAAATAATTTTCTAAAATTAAAGTAATTGAAAAAGAAATAAAAATTACATAAATGCTTTTATTTATATTTGTTATATGTCCTTATAATAATGGTCAAGTTTTCTATTTTATTTTTTACAAGATTTAAAATATTTTAAATTCTGCCTTGTCCACGGAGGAGATGTAATAGTCAACGGAGGAGAAATTTTATGTTATAAAATATAAAATGTCAATGAAGACTAATTCATTAATTATTGGGTACAACTGATATGAGTTTAACATTAATAAGTAAATAATAAAATATTTCATTATTAGAGATAGAGCTACTTCCGATTAATCATGCTGCTATGAAAGGAAACATCCATTTTTAGCCTAAGTGTACAATTTTTTAAGTAACTCTTACTGAATATTAATAAATTAAAATGTAAAGACTGTTGAAATAAAAATTCAGACTTCACATGAAAGTTGTGTGTTGAGGGTACTCTTTTATGAACATTTTATTCTAGTTATTTAATACTGTCATCCGAATGACGTTTTTGTTTTTTCTCTTTTCTTCCTGTTATTATTTCTTTTTTCCCTGGGCACAAACGGCTTGCTCTATCAATTTCTAGAAATTTAAGTACATTTGATCATGATTTTTCTGTTAAACCTTTTTCTGATACAGATTTGAAAGTTTCTTGCTCTTTTTTTTTTTACTTTCTTCAAACAATATAGAGTTTTCTTTTAATTTCTGTCTAGCTTGTCTCATACTAAGTTTTTTCTGTTCCCTTCTTTTTTGCATTTGAACATTTGATTGCTTTCTTTGTTTACATGTTGGTTTTGCTATTTCTTTCCTAAAATTTGAAGAGAAAAAAAATGTTAAACATCACAGAAATTATTTAGAAAAATTGCCAATATTTACTTCTCCGATAAGAAAAAGTTAAACTTAATTGATTTTCTTTAAAAATACAAGCAAATTAACACATTTGCTCCAGTTTAAAAAATATCAATTAAAAGAAAATAGTTTTTTAATTATTAAAATTGTATTATGGTTATCTAATACATTGACTGTGTCTTCTCCTCCATGGAATTGTCATGTCCACGGAGGAGACAAAAACTAGTTCTTGAATTTTACTGATTTTTAATTTTAAAGTTACAAAAATGGGACAGTTCTTTTTATTAAATATACTATTTTTGCAATCTAAAATTCATCTATCAAAAATAAAATAATTTTCTCTTTGATGTCCACGGAGTAATCGGTGAGATCTTTGCCAAACCCCAGTTGAACATAACAATCCAAAACTGACACCAAAGAGAACAAGAACAACTGTTAGTTAACAATAGAAAATGAAACGGTTACCTTTCCCAGCAGCTGTCTTATAGGGATATCGCATATACTGCCCTTTATTGCATATTTACCTAACTATATTAATTGTCCAAGGAGGGAGATTTCATTTTTGAGGGACAAAGTTTACTAGTCATTTATTTCATAAAAATAAATTTTTTTCAAAAAAATATTAAGTAAAAAGTTACTATAAAGATTTAACTAGGTAAAACTACAAAAATCATTAAAATAATATTTAAATTGTTTAACAGCCATTAAAAATTATTTTGTGTCACAGACGTAGAGACGTCCACGGAGGGGATTTTGAAGTTATGTTTGTTAAAAAATAAGAATGAAATATTAAATACATTTAGCAGAAATGCATATGATTTGTTAGAACTTAATGAAAAATGATGAAAAAAATATTAAGAAATCTGCTGTATTTCCTAATATTTATTACTAAGGGACTTAAAAAATCACCTTTTTGTGAGAATGACCCTTACTATATTATTTGTAATAATTTTTAAGTTCATGAATATTCCCCAAAGAATTTATAATAGCCTTTGATGGTATAAGAGCAAGATCCGAGAAAATACGGTCTCCATTGACGATCAATAAATTTTGAGTGATGACTACAGTTTTAGCTTTTCAATTACGATGCGACATTTTTTTATAGTTCATTATTTCTGGGGGAAAAAAATCGGTCTGAGAATTGAGTTTTGTTCCAGTTCTCGCTCGAGCTTTCAACAGTCATAGGAGAAAAATCAAATCGCAATGTCCTGCATTCTGATTCTGAAATAATGTCTTATTCAAAAAATAGAAATATCTTGTTCAAAAAATAAGAAATCAAATAAATAAGAAGCAATAAATTAAATAAATAAATGATTTGTAGAAAAAGGTAAGGTGAGCTTATTTAATACGATCAGTAAGATGTTTTGCACCAAGTAGTTTTAATATATCAGCTGAGACTGGAATTATTTGGAACGAGTGTTACTTTTAAGAAAAAGTGTAAAAAAATCAGGAAGAACTATACCGTAAACCGGGGTGAGTCTACCCATCCAGGGCCGAGTCTACCCATTTTAGTTTTATTTAATTTTCACTATTTTAAATTGCAAATAAAAAAAATTTTACCGATGGAGGACTTAGTTCAGACTCTAAGGAAGATGGCGCTGTAGTAGTTTGATCCGTTTTTATTTATTTGGTGTCTTTTTAACCGACCTGTTCAAACGTCTTTTGAGAGATTTGTATTGAAAATCAGCAAACTTTTAGTTGGTGCTCCGTAAGTATATTATTATTATTACTATTTTCACTTTGGTTAAGTGATAAACTTATCTAAGACTAAGATTACATTAATTTTATATAAAAAAAAACAAAAAGAATGTAAGTTTTGCTGTTGTAAACAAAAAGCCAGAATTCGCGGGGCGAGTCTACCCATTCGTATTTAGTTTTAATAAAGCATAATAATATAATTTAGAACTTTGTTTATATTAAAATTAAGTCATTTTAAATGAATTTGAGTATATTATTTTAATTCTGCATTGATAAATTTATCATTAATAAGAAAATTTATAGGTTAAATATAAATGTAAATATAAAATATGTTTATTTTACCTATTTTTTCAATTTTTATATTACAAAATTAACTTTTTTTATTTAATATTATATTTCAACGAGAAAACATTGTAAGAAAAATCACACCTCCCAAAAGAATGGGAAAAGGATTTTTCATGATTCCCAATGTTTGAATTTCGATTTTGTTAATAATCTTTAATTATTATTATTTATTAATTATTTAATTGTAAATTTATATTAATTTTAATTTATTTTTATCAACAATAATCAGAAAAAAATGTTATTTTATAATGTTAATGATTATAAAAACAAAACTGTGATCAAAATGTGATAATCGATCAAATACTCAATTTGTGTTATTTTATGAATAAAAAAATGGAATATATAATAAAGTTATGAATTTTACTTCATAAATATCCTATATAGTAACTAAAATAACAATTTAATAGTAAAATTTGATTATTTACAATGTTAACATTCATTTTAGTAGAATGGGTAGACTCGCCCCATACGAGAGATTTGTCAGCAGTTCTATAAAAATATACAGTAACAGCGTAACTGTTAATATTTTCTAAAATCGATTTCACAGCTTTAAAGAGGGATAAATAGCGATTCCGAAACACCTATTAAAAGCCTTTTTTCTTTAATATTTACAAAAGTTTGACAGCTTGAAAGTTGAGAAACTGAAAAAATGGGTAGACTCGCCCCGGTTTACGGTAGATTAAAATAGATTAGTATCGGATAGATTATTATATTGAGCCGGGATAGCCTGCTTGGGTTGGACTCACGTCCGCCTGAGTCCGGCCGAAGACTGTGTAGTAAATGATGACTGGTGCTGCACGTTAAATAAGTCGTCCATCTTACCAAAATAATACCTCTGGGAATCGATCATTCTCTGGTTCAGGTCAAAATTAAGATCTGTGGATGTTATAAACGGGTGTGACGTATTTCTTAATAACCTACGACGATAACAATATCGGATAGATCATCGGAAAAAATCTACGTCTTAGCATAACGAAAGAGAATTTAAAAATATAATGAAGTAATTTGGTTGAATAGCTCTGCGAATCACACGTAGTCAGGTAATTAAAATTTAAATTTTAAAATTGAGATGATAGGATGATATATAAAATACTGCAAGAAGAAAAAAAATTCTTGTAAAATTAACATTTCCTATAGAAGACATTTTTGATAATAAAATCAAAATATAAGGTAATTTAAAACATTCATATGGTAAAGGCTTCCATTCATATAGTGACGGTTGGGCGAAAATTCTTGCTTTCAAAATTATAGTTCCTATTCCCATGCATTTAGCAAAATTTTAAAAACAGAAAATTAAATTTTTCCGATTAAATGGTTTCTTATGCCATGCTCTAGCGTATCATGATAAGTTTTATCACATTTACAGAATTTAACACATATTATAATACTACATTTTATTGTTAATTTTACCAAAACACTTTCGTAAAAATTAGCGTGCGTATTGGTGTTCTCATAGAGCCAGAAATAAAGTAAATTTTACCATATTTTGGTAGTTTTGACCATACTTATTTTCTCATTCTTTTAAGACGCTTAAAAATTTTGTCTACATATTCGATAGCTGTTTATTTTCTTCATATTCTTTGACTTTTAAAACATCAACAACGTTCCAGATAATCGTTGTCACAAGAATTCATTTCAAGATACAAAACTAGTATCGTTTATATTTTTATTAAAATGAATATTGAATAATTGATGAGGGACACCGCATTTATGGAAAGATTCCTATTTTGACGAATAAAATTATTAATTTGACCGAATCATAAATTAGTGCCAACAATTATTCTTACATATTATAATAAAAGGGCATTAAAAGTG